CCACCTTGGGTGTACATAGCTGGCGCCTTAGCCACTTGAGCCACAGGTGCCGAGCCAAATTCACTGCTTCTTAGCTTAAAACTGTATTACCAAAAAAGTATTACTTTGACTGCTATGCGGAGAACAGATTATAGGATACAAAAGAGAATGACAGGTCAAGAGGCAATAATCAAAGTTGGAGGTAAAGGTGGCTTAGATCTTAGGGGCCATAATTTTTATGAAAATAGAGGAAACAGGATTCGTTGACAAATTGCATAGAGGAATGTGGGGGGTGGGAAAGGAAGAGTTATCCCAAGATTTTGGAAGAACAGGGAGGATTGAGCTGATACTTACTAAGATGGGAAACACTGTGAGATAAGCAAGCTGAGAATAAAGAGAAAATCAGAAATTGAGTTCTTGACACATTAGGTTTGAGATACTCTTATAAAACCCCAAGTGAAGGGACCAAGCAAGCAGCCTTATAAACACGAGCATAGATGTCAGGGGAGAGGTCTGCAGTTGACACACATGGTAGACTCTAATGTAAAGAATATTTAAACTCACAAAACTGGATGACAAAAGACAACTACAAAAAACTTACAGCTAACATCATACTAATGGTGAAAGACTGAATGACTTCCGTTAGATCAGGAAGAAGACAACAATGTCCACTCCTACCAATTCTATCAACATTATACTGGAAATCCTAATTGGGGCCATAAGGCAGGAAAAAGAAATAAAAGGAATACAGATTAGGAAGGAAGAATTAAAATGATCTTTCTACAGTTTTACATTTACAGATGACATGTTTGAACATGTGGAATATCCCTTGAAATCTACAAAAAAGCTATCAGAACTAATAAGTAAGTTTAGCAAAGTTACAAGATAGAAGGTTAATATACAAAATGAATTTATTTCCCTATGCTAGTAATATTAATTGGAAATTGAACATTTAAAAACAGCACCACTTATAACAGCACCAAAAAGTATAAATTTGACAACAGATGGGTACTATTTATGCCCTGGAAATTGCAAAACATTACTGAGAAAAACTAAATAAGACCTACATAAATACTGAAAGATATAGTATGTTCCTGTATTAGTAGGTACAATTCTGTTACGATGACAGCTTTCCCTACAGTCACCTATACTCAACAAAATCTCAGTTACCAAAATCCTGGTTTTGCAGAAATTGGACAAGATGATTCTAAAATTGATATGTGAGTGCAAAGTACCTAAAACAGTCAAAACAATTCCGAAGAACAGGGTGGAAGGACTTACACTAATTTCAAGACTACAGAGCTACAGTGATCAAGAAGGGACCATGTCTCGATCCAGAGAAAAGAAAAGTCCAGAAATGGTCCTATTAAAAGTATAAAACTAGAAATGAGCCACGGACCTAATTTTAAGAGTTAGAACTAAAAAAATTTTTAAAAAGAAAACATTAGAAAATCTTAGTGATCTTACATTTGCCACAGATTTCATTAATAGGACACAAAGGGTCTAAATTATGAAAGAAACTGATAAAAGGCTCGGCGCCTATAGCTCAACCAGCTAGGGCGCCAGCCACGTACACCTAAGGTGGCGGGTTTGAATCCCCAGCCCGGACCCGCCAAACAACAATGAC